GTACAGTAAAACCTCAATAAATCGGACTTCAATAAATCAGAGCTGGATGATTGTCATACTCGATTCCGAGTGAAAGCAAAGTAGTAAATACAAGAGATAATTCCGTTACCCAGAACAAATGGTGCAGAGCACTTCTGGGAAGGAGAGATTTCTAGGTAACGAGACGACTCTGTAGGAATTCGTGGTATAATGTTGTCTAGCACTCAGGATGGATGGAAACTCTAAGGGGGTTTTCTTGTATAATATAAGTTATATGATAGACAGTCTGGTGCTGGAGGTGCCGTGTGGTGAGGAACTGCTCAGTAGAGACGTTCGGTGAGTAGCGTGTTGAAGGAGGTAGATGTGCAGGAGCTTCATTAGAGAAGATGTTGCCTGTTGCTGGCCTCCTGGTTGAATGAAAGCTGGACAGCGTGGAGCTTGCTGGAGGAGGTGTTGCGTGTTCAGGAAGATGGGCAGAATGAGAGCTGGTTGGTGAGGAAGCTCAGAGAAGGACAGCTGGTGAGTCGCCATGCTCGCTGGCGGGAGCGAGGACCGCCAGGCAGGCGGAGGAGAGGCGAGGGCCGCCAGGCAGCGGCGGAGGAGGAGGTGTTGCTTGTTCAAGAAGAGAGACCAGAATGAATCTCAATGGAGAGACAGAGCTTATATGCCCAGCAGCCGTGAGTCCTCTATGAGTCATGTTGGGAAAACCCGAGAAAGTCGCCGATCTTTGGTTCGTTGCTAGGTTACGGTAACATCTGCTGTCGCCGCTCGCTTGGTTGCTAGGACACGGTAGCATCGGAATGCGGATACGCAGTTGTAGGGGAGAAGTCCACTACAACTCTCTCAAAGCCAGAACAAAATCCCTCATCCCCGGAATTTTCCGGGTAATGGAAAAATTTTCTTGGAAGTTCCAGAGATTGCCCATTACATCATCTCTCAAACCCGGAATTTTCTGGGTACCAGAAAATTTTTCTCAAATTTTCCGGAAAATGTGCCTGATTTTCATCTCTCAAACCCAGAAAAAGAACTCCCCATTCCCGAATTTTTCCAGGATCTGGGAAAATTTTCTCTAAATTTTCCAGAAAGTGTAACCCTCGGAAAATCACTCCCACAGCCAGAATTTTCCGGAAAATTCTGGCTGTGGGAGTGATTTTCTGAGAAAATGTCATTTCCAGCTAACAGAGTTCTGGTTAAGAGGGATTCCGGCTAACGGAAATATTACTAGTCGTAATGTGTATGTGTGTGTGGAGTTGAGTGTGATGTGCTTGTGTCCTGACCCACACTCACCACACTAACCTTGAGATCACTTTCATTCCCACTGTCTGACTTGTGTGATGTCTGCTAGGTGTGTGTGTGTGTGTGTGTGTGTGTATCAGTATTGTTCCAGTACGAGTGCTGCCCTCTTGTGGTCTGCATGCGAATGAGATAGTCTCATGCTTCATTGTATTATAGTGAATAAGACAGTTTCCATTCCTTATATGTATTGTAGTAGTTGACTTGTTTGTTAAATAATATACAGTAGACATTCTGAATCCTGCCAGTACCTGTACAAGTTCCTGAATAAAGCAATTCTTCAAGTACAGTATTACCCCGCCTAACGCGGTTTCACTTAGCGCGTTTTACCAAATACGCGGTGCCTCGCCAGAGCTGAACTTTCACTTAACGCGGGTTTTTTCCACATATACGCGGTGAGTGTCCGGCTCGAGAGCTATTTTTAGATTCGCCCCACCCCCCACCCGCCACCCTGCCTGACTGCCTGTTTTAGCTCATAAAATTCATACAAATTACCCAGCCAGAATATAATTTACATTGCTGGAATTCTTACAATATGATGATTATTTTGAATATAAACATCATAGATTTTGCATTAGACATACAAATTTTAGATATAAAGTTTATTCTGAGTAAATATGTTATTTTTTGTGAAAAATATATGACATTTGTATTTAAAATATTCCTGGGCTTTCAAGGAATCCAGCAATGTCAATTATATTATCCTAACTTTAGTTTGAGGTATTATTTATTACTAAAAGGTAAATATTCTGGTTTTCCCACACATCTCCTTGAGACGGTTGGTGGGGGGTGGGGGGAGGGAGGGACCGACCGACCATCTGTTACAGTGAAGAATATTTATTTTTTTTATTAACTGAAGATATTTGTTTTAGCTCATAAAATTCATACAAATTACCCGGTCAGAATATAATTTACATTGCTGGAATTCTTATAATTTGGTGATCATTTTGAATATAAACATCATAGATTTTGCATTAGACATACAAATTTTAGATGTAAAGTTTATTCTGAGTAAATATGTTATCTTTTGTGAAAAATATATGACATTTATATTCAAAATATTCCTGGTCTTACAAGGAATCCAGCAATGTCAATTATATTATCCTAACTTTAATCTGAGGTATTATTTAATACTAAATGTTAAAAACTCTTGAAGGGAGGATTGGTGGGGGGTGGGGGGGAGGGTTGGGACTGACCGCGCGGTTGGAAGAGGGGGGAAGGCAAGGTGGGGTACTTTGATTGACAGATAGTGTCGTGAAGAATATTTTTTTTTTTTATTAACTGAAGATATTTGTTTTAGCTCATAAAATTCATACAAATTATCCGGCCAGAATATAATTTACATTGCTGGAATTCTTACAATTTGGTGATCATTTTGAATATAAACATCATAGATTTTGCATTAGACATACAAATTTTAGATGTAAAGTTTATTCTGAGTAAATATGTTATCTTTTGTGAAAAATATATGACATTTGTATTCAAAATATTCCTGGTCTTACAAGGAATCCAGCAATGTCAATTATATTATCCTAACTTTAGTTTGAGGAATTATTTATTACTATACCTGGTTTTCCCCCAAAAATTTCTCAGAGGGAAGAGCCAGCGAGTGTAGTGTGAGAAGAGGGGGAGGGAGTCGAGTCCATTATTTGAATGGATATTAACTTGGCGACTGTATTTCTCTATTTCTCTTAAGTATTAATTGTGTGCATGTACCATCATAAAATTAAGATGTTATTTTTACTAAAACATAGGTATTGTGTCGGAAAAAGTGGAGTTTGGGGATGGGCCAGTTTCTATTGGAATTAATCCCATATGTTCTGTTGTTCACTTAACGCGGTTTTCACTTAACACGGTACCCTGTGGGTTTTATTGACCGCGTTAAGTGGGGTACAACTGTACGTGTTTACTTACACACCATGAGCGAAGAGAAACCAAAAATGGCCAGTGAGTAGGATGTGCTACTAGTTGCCTCACCTACTACATCACGACACAGCACGATGGAGGAACAGTTGAAGCAGTTGACAGCGCTCATGGCAAGGCAAATGGAGGAAGCACACAGGAGAAAGGAACGCCTGACCACAGTCTTGGAAGGACTGGCGAGCTCAAGGTAAGTGGATGACAGTGCTGATGTGGGAGGGAATGCTACACCGCCTGTCAGAGGTGATGTAGATGCATCACACCCCTATGTCAGGTTACTTCACAGTGCAACTCCTGCACCACACCCTCGTCTTCCGCCTCCGAGGGAGTTTGATGCCTAGCGGCATAAGTTCGAGGGATATGTGAAGCTTACTGAGATCCACTATCTACCTCCTCACGAGAAGAGATCGACTTTAGTGGCGTTGCTGGACGACGATTGGACAAGAACACTGAGGTATGGACTTACTGTGACTGATGGGGCGAATCTCAAGACAATGCTCGACTCCGTGGAGACCCACTTACGCGTTCAGGAGGCGGGAGAGTCCTTCGAGGATTTCCTTTGCAGCATCAAGGAGATAGCCGCCTTTTGTGATTTTTGTGTTGTGTGTATGGACAACAGGATACGAGACAGAGTGGTTGTTGGCACCCGTGATGAGGAGGCCCTGAAGCGTATGTTAGAGGTGAAGGACCTACACATACAGAAGGCAGTAGACATTTGTAGAGCTTCTGAAAACGCTCACGCATACAACGCTGAGATACGAGGGTCTACTCAGACCACTCTGGCCAATGTGTCGCAATACCAATGACACCGGCGGTCACAACGTCCAGACTCTGCTAAACTCGAAGTGTTACAGATGTGGGAAAGACTGTCACACTGATATGAAGGCCTGCAAAGCCCTGGATTGGGTATTTTCGATATGTAATAAGAAGGGGCACTTTGCGTCGGTGTGCAGGTCAGCTCCTCGAATACAATCGAAGAAAGTGAATCTGAGACCAACAAACCAGAAGGTGCACCGGCTCATAGCAGAAACCAAACATGACTATCATCTACATTGGCATCATTTGATTCATCATCACTCGGGTCATCTATTGCTTATCTTCTTCATTACCAAGTAATTCCAGTTCTTCATGTATTTCTCTGGATATATTCAGCCTACACCTACATTCTGGCCTTGGGGAACGAGATATAGTGCGTTGTGGAGTATCCATGACTGACACGTAAAAGATGGCATGAGGAAGCACGTGGAGTCTCAGGCCTGGGTGATATCATACCTAATTTACTAAGGTTTTTGTCCAAGCTGTGTCAGGCAAATAAATAAATTATGTATCTAATATTTGTTTTACCTACATAGGTTTACAATCATTTACATGCATTTACAATCTAGCCATAGTGAAAATTTATATTTGTTTGATTGTTCTGATATGTGTTTAAGACGACATGGCATCCGTTGCCATATGGACCACAGGAACTTTAATTACTAAGTGATGCAAGAAGCTTACTGACTGCGTTACAGTGACTTCGTATGCAGCCCACCAGTTTTAGTGGGTTAAAGCCCACTTTCAGTTGATATTCTGGTACAGTACATTATGTACTTATATTGTATTACTGTTTTATCTCTCATACTGGCAAATGGCATATTTACAAAAGGTATGGGAATTATGGTGACTATGGTAAGCCTTTTGGTGTATGAGAAAGAAGTACAGGCAGTTGAACTATAAATAACAGAACTAATTTGGATCATAAACTACAACATAATAAGAGACCTATTCCACAGTTAAGAAACTATGTACAGTACAGTATACCCTACCATGCAAGATGAGTAAATTTAGAATCTGTCGAAATGCCCAGCACCTCACATCCAATGGTTCGGAACTCATCAATGCGCTCAGCAAAGGAAATGATCTCTGTAGGGCAGACATAAGTGAAGTCCAGTGGGTAGAAGAGCATGACCACAAACTTTCCCTTGTAATTGTGTAGCGACACTTCCTCAAACTTCAATTTTGTGACGGCATCACATGTGAAGTATGGGGCAGGATCACCAACATGGATGGTGCCCTTCTGAATGCTCTGTAAGGGAATAGAGATATATTACTATCATCTTTTTTTTTCAGATAAAGAAGCATGGTATCACATTAATCAAGTATAATACTGTACAGTCGGCCCTTAACATACGCGGGTTTATAATACACGGATTTGCAAATACGTGGATTGCCCCGCCGGAGGAATATTCTGTACATTGAAGTACATTCAAATCGCGCGCCATTCAACTCGCGCGCGGCACCGAACACGGGACACAACCCGCTCCCGCAACCTCACACACACACGCATAGCTCTCCCTCACTCAGTCAGTCTCGCTGTAACCACGCTTGTGTTGACATCAGCATTGTAGTTGCAAAAATATTACATTTCCGTGAATGTATTATATCAAGCACAATATGAATAGAATATCACTAATATAAGAGTATTTTAACCGAAAACTACTAAAAAAACGAGTAACATATCTTGAACATCGGAAGGTTAGGTAAAGTCTTTTGTTTTCATGTAGTTTATCCTAATTTACATTGAAATGCATTACGTTTCAGCAAAACTACTATTTATTTCTGAGAATATGGAATGTAATATTTTGCTGAAATGACGTACATATTACAGTGGAAAGTGACGAAAGCAATGACTCGCTTTCTTTCGTTCAAAAGATGTTACCGTAATCGCTTTTCGAATGGTTTTCAGTTAAAAAACTGTTGTATTACAATGATATTCTATCCTAATTCACTTGTGATGCAACAGTTTTTTTAACTGAAAACCAGTCGAAAAGCGGTTACGGTAACATCTTTTGAACAAAAGAAAGCGAAAGTCATTGTTTTCGTCACGATTTTATCTCACTTTCCACTAATACGTACGTCATTTCAGCAAAAATATTACATTTCCGTGAATGTAGTATATCAAGCACAGTAAGAATATAATATCATTGTAATATAACAGTATTTTAACCGAAAACTATTAAAAAACGAGTAACATCTCTTGAACATTGGAAGGTTAGGTAAAGTCTTTTGTTTTCGTCATGTATTTTATCCTATTTTACATTGAAATACATCACGTTTCAGCAAAACTACTATTTATTTCTGAGAATATATTCATTCAGGCGCAGTTTAGGTAAAATATACATGAGCTGTAACATTTTTTTAATTGAAAACGATTCGAAAAACACGTACCTTCTAGCCCTGTTCAAGGAGAAAACTGGGAGGAGCTGTTTGGTGCTTAAGACGATGACAAGGAAAATTATTTTGATGGATTTTAATGAAAATATTCAAAAAGACCCTGGCACTGTCAAGGAAAGTGGCTGCTGAAGGCTTCCAGGACATGGCAGAGGACGAGATTGGGGAGCTAATTGAAGAGCACGACACTGAGCTGACCGAGGAGGATCTACAGGAGTTAGTAGACTCAGGCAAGGAAGAGGAAGAGCACCAAGAAATAGCGTTGGAGAAGTTGGGGGAGATGACTAGGAATATTGAGGCACTGAAAAACCTGGCCTATAGTATGAACCCCTCCATGGTGCGTGCCCTGAAATTCATGCGAGGGATGGATGACGTTTTCGCTCCATACAAAAACATCATGGAAGAAATGAAAGAAAGAGACGACAACTCCCCATCACCATGTTCTTTGATCACCGAGGAGAGATTTAACACCATCAATCACTGGCGGCAGTGAGGAAGCAGCTGAATCCACCGTCGCCCCCACTTCACCACCCGTTATGGAATTGAGTGACGATGAGCCCGATGACACCCGTCCTGTCACCGAGGATAGGTACTGTACAGTAAAGTGAAATTTTTATCTCTTTTTTTTAATAGCTTTTCTTGCCATGTTTATTGTTTGTAAAAATGCACAGCACAGTACAGTTCAGTACTGTACATAGGAAGTGGAGGTGCAGTTATTCACAAAACATTTGTGTTCGTTGTCGGCAGTAGTGACGGTGAGGAGGGAGCGGAGGGAGCGAGTTGGGAGGAGTGGTGACCTTGGACGCGGGAGCAGGGACGAGTGGAGATGCCAGCCAGTACATTACGGGTGTATTAATTGTTTTTATAGCTATTTTTGCATTTTAATATTAAATATTGTACATTACGTTTCAACAAAACTACCATTTATTTCTGAGAACATGGAAATGTAATATTTTTGCTGAAATGATGTACGTATTACAGTGGAAAGTGGGATAAAATTGTGACGAAAGCAATGACTTTCTCTTTCTTTCGTTCAAAAGATGTTACCGTAATCGCTTTTCGAATGGTTTTCAGTTGTGGGATTATAAGGCTAATGATAGGATAGAATATTATTGTAATACAGTACGAGTACAACAGTTTTTAAACTGAAAACCATTCGAAAAGCGATTACGGTAAAATCTTTTGAATAACGAAAGAAAGCGAAAGTCATTGTTTTCGTCTTTCCACTGTAATATGTACGTCATTCCAGCAAAAAATATTATATTTTCATATTTATTTCTGAGAATACTTATATTCATTCAGTCACAGTTAAGGTAAAATATACTTGTGATGTAATATTTTAATGAAAATACGGTATTGTAGTTTTCTTTTGTTTCAAATTTAATTAACAAAGATTGATGTTTCAAATGTAATGAACAAAAATTTATGTACAGTATCTATAAATAAACTTTAATAAATGATGACGCAAGAGATCTGCCCTGGCAACTGTACCGACACTCACAGCTGGTGGTGCGCTGGTGCATCGTTTCCATTGTTTCTGGTAGTTACTGGTAAATATTTTTCAACCTAACGAAACTATTACCCGTTTAGAGGTCGACCCCCAATTTTTTGCCAAATAATTTGGTCTTAAAAACTTGAACTACACACAGGTATATACGGTAAATAAGGACATGGGTGGACCAGGTTTTTTTTGGGGACAGCACATATATGCGGATTTTTAACATCCACGGGTATCTCTGTTACGTAACCCCCAAGTATGTTAAGGGCCGACTGTACTATAATTTTAAAAAATTAAATGATTGGTCACACTCAAAAAATTCAACATGGATATTTATGTATGGTAATACAATACGTGCCACATCATGTACAGTACCAAGCTTTATCATGAAATACCTTATGTTTGAGACAAATTGTCCAATATCTTGCCCTAATATCCATGTAATAAAAATGGATCATCTAGGATGTACATAAGTATGTACAGTGCCTTGATCACAATATTGAATGTTTCTCCATCTGCAACACTAGATACAGGTATCCGTCATTATAGAAATGTTTGCACTACGAATATCTGCTTGTACGAATACAGTATTCTATTCTTGCACCTCTTTCTTACTATGTGAAAGCTATTCTCAATTATACAAATGACAGACCTTACTCGGCCCACCCCTCTTCACACCATGCGGTGAGCCCTGACTGCCCACCCTTAAGATAATGTACCAAATACAGAATATTATTTATTTATTTCTTAATGTGTTAGATACTGTACCAAATTTGGTACTAAATTATGGAACAGTAATCGTTGTTCATAAACCAATTTTACATTTTAAGATATAATATTGGGGTTTTCTTGTAGTTGAGGAAACAAATCATATTTTTCCCATATGTTATGTTATTAAAAATACAAATATTCACTTCACAAATGGTTTTCAAGGAACCTAACCCATTTGTATAGTGAGAGATACCTATACAGTATTGTGAAAGTGCAGGACAAAATTGAACTGGGAAGAGATCTTTAAACAAAATGCTCTGGATTGACTCCTCCCTGGTGGTCAGCTCCAGGTACACTTAATATATACAAGTGATATCCCTGTTAGCCAGAACAATTGGCACAGAGCACATTGGCACAGAGAGATTTCCGGCTAACCAGACTCTCTCAAACCCTGAAAAATTCCTTATCCCCAGAATCTTTTCTGGTTACTAGTTAAGGTTTCAGTGTCTAAATTAGACATCTTCCACACAGACACTAGCCCACTTCCCCAGAAAATTTTTGGGTGCTGGGGATATTTTCGTTGAGTCTAAATTACCGGAGTCCGTACATGTACAGTAGTTCTTATTAAGTTAGAAAGTCCATTACCTTACTAAAAATAATCCAGAATAGTTCATCTAAACATTTGGTTAAATTTATTGAAAAACTAAAAATCTATATATGGGCAAAAACGAAGCTGTGTGTTACAGCAAAGACTGGTATTTTCCACTCCCATGGAGCTGTGGGGGATTAGTGGGTCTCATGTAAATGACCTGACCTGACCTGACCCAATGTCAGGTGGAGGTAAGGTGGGGGATTAGTGGTCTCAGGTCACCCTTTCTTGGGGGGGATTAGTGGGTCTCATGACCTGAAGATGTCTGGAATAAACACGAAACCTAAAGTATTTTAAGGGAGATTGTGGTAAGTATATACTGTATGAGCAAAGCTGTATCCCTTCAACATTACATTACATAAAATTTTAAAATATGGAGTGAGAAAACAAAAGGGTATGGGTAATTTTTTTTTTTTTACGGGTATTAGCCCACCCGGGCACAGGTCACTGACCCACATCAGGGCTTTGGGGGGCAAAAATATAATAATAAATAATAATTATCATTACAACATCTATTCTTAAAATAATTACAACAATTAATAAAATTAATAGCAAATTAATAAAATAAAAAATAATAAAAATAATAATATTAATAAAAATAAAAATAAAAATAATAATAAAAATAATAATAATAATAATAATTATAATAACCATAAATAAATACAAAAACGAAAAAATAAATCAAGGGTGAGAAACAATATACATTATGTACAGTATGTTGTGTTGTCCAAGCAAGAGAAACCATTGAGACCCTGCAATAGTGTGTAAATGAGGCAGAAAGTCAGATCAGCAACCTGGGACTTGGTCACAATTTTCATGATGCCATATGGCAGCAGGGTCTACCATTAGACAACACATTATGCTTCCAATATCTTCCCAGGCGGTAGTACCTCCCTGTTTGGTACCTGCTTACGATCTGTGCAGCATCTCTGAAAGGGGAGGTACAAACTTGGTTAAGTTCAATAGTAACAAAACTCAATTATTACCAATTACACTT